GGGAACTACATGAAACTGCATTTGAAGAAGCTACCAAGCTATGCTGCCAGTCAAAGCTGATTTCTGGAATACATCTCCGAACTCCATGTTTAGAAAGTTGACAGTGATACTAAACTAGCGATACTGTAAATTAAATTAGAAAAACTTGTAGAAAACAAAACTTGCAAACACTGTAATCAGGCAACTTGTTTCCTTAACTGGGATTAGGAGCTCGTCATATACTGTATACTGTAATCATCTTTTCTTCAGCTGAAGAAGGCACCTGAAGAAGGCTCCACGGCCGAAACGTTGTGTTCTCTTTCTTCTTTTTTTCAGCATGGAATAAACCTATTACTTGTTCCTTTGCAGCCTACGCATGCTGACGCAGCTACCCACCTGAACTACTATCTTTTCTTCAGCTAGGTTTTATTTAAGCCTTGGTTTCACTGTACATATAAAGCTCACATGTGCATCACTTAACAACATATACTCAATTGGGCTGTGGCTGGAAGGTTGCTGGTTCAAATCCCGTGGCCAGCAGAGGAATCCTACTCCGTTGGGCCCCTGAACAAGGCCCTCAACCCCAGCTGCTCCAGGGGTGCTGTATAAATGGCTGACCCTGCGCTCTGACCCCAAGCTTCTCTCTCTCCGTCTGTGTGTCTCATGGAGAGCAAGCTGGGGTATGTGAAAAATGACAAATTCCTAATGCAAGAAATTGTATATGGCCAATAAGGTGATCTTATCTTAATTAGTTCTCAGTCGTCATGTCGATTACAGTCGAAACCATGGTGACATGTGATTTTAGTTATCATCTTCCTTTCCATTCTGTGTCTAACATGCTAAACCTGTGTAAACCTGCTAAAACTTGGTCCGTTTCAGGGTTGTGGGGGAGCTGCAGTCTGTCGCACTAAGCAATGGGCCCAAGGCAGGGTACACCCTGGGTGGGACATCAGTCCATTGCAGGCCAAACGCATACAATCTGTGCAGGGCCAATCTTCGCAGAAGCAAAATAACATGCTGATACATTATGTCTTTGGACTGTGGGAGGAAACCAGAGCACCTGCAGAAAACCCACACACACACGGGGAGAACATACATACTCCACACAGACAGAATTGAACCCAGCGTAGCGAGGTAGCAATGCTAACCACTGCAACCGACAACGATCCATTTGAAATCTATTAGTATTGTTGTTCACCTAGTTCCCCACTAGATGGCCCTGTGAACATGCGCAGCTTATATGTTCTGAGGAAAGTTCTAGAAATTAGATCATTTTTGAAATTTTTGCGCATGGAATGACCCATAAAGAAAAAGAGATAAAATGCGTTATAAAAACGAACAGACTAAAGAGATAAAATGCGTTATAAAAATGAACAGACTATATACCAATAAGAAGGAATTGGTCATTCATCGTGTGCTTTAACTTCAAACGCTCATCTGAAATGACCAATGCTGATTCATGAAATCCTGAACCAAATTGATGAATACATGATTCAGATCAACCCTTTATCTTGTATTATTGCTCTCTACTCTTAAAAAAGCAAAACTCTAATAATAATAATAATAATAATAATAACTTATTATTTTCCATATATTATAAATATGGTATTGTTTTATATAGCGCCTTTAAATTAGCTTCTCAAAGCGCTTTACGATAATAAGGGAAAAGGGTTACACGGAGAGGAGATAAAGTTAGCACGATTAAAAAAAGGGGTTAAAAATGTAGTAGAAGATATGGGAAGCCGACCTACAGACCTGACGACATTTCTGACGCACGAATGTGAAGAGCAGAGCCCTGAAAACCTATTCACTAATCGATATGGAATAATCAATTGACGGCTCAGAAGTAGGACAAGCTAATATTTTCTGCTTGCTGTGGGGGGCCGGCGGATTGTCAGAGGCCGAGAAGAGCAGTTCTCGTCCTTTGAAGCTCAGCCGGTCAACTGCGCAAAACCCATTTGGTTTTTATTTGACTGCAACGTACATGGCAAATCTCTTCCCGCCTTTGAGGTGACGAAGAGTTCTCGGATAATTTGGACGATCTTTGCTGTTTTAGTTGAGGTGTCTGCTGGCGGAGTGAGGACGCCTCCCCTGCCTCGGGTCATTTTATTCACAGTTTCACCACAAAAAAAAATCTTTGGACAAAGAATTTGGAGTTCTAGCGTGTGCTCCTATTAATACTATATCATAAGAAGAGTTTCTGTTATATATGGGATACACATGATTTTTTTTTCATTGATGACACCAGCACGTTTCTGTAAGGGGCTTTGAAGAAGGATCAGATCAGGAAATTAAAACCCAATTCATTAAGAATGGAGAACAGGAAAGGCCACACTACGTGAAGAGTTGTAGCTGCCTTGAACAGACTTCCCCGTCAAGTGGTTGAATCTGAAACTCTTGGCTGTTCCCAGAAATATCTTGTTGAAAAAGACTGCCAGACTCCTTTTGCCAGCTACATTACTAGAACACATTCTAATAAAGTTTGTCATTTATTGTTTTGATCTCAGTTTTATTACTATGCGTTTCGTTAGTTTTCTTCTGAAGCTGGCGATGAATCTTCTGGCTCACCCAGAAAAGGTCTAGGCTCAGTGAGTCATAGGAGTCAGAGAGCCTGGAGATCCTACATTTAGGTACAGATAAGCGAGTGGAGGATGTTGCTGAACAGCAAACCTTTTTAGTGGTCAGGTGTGTCCTGGTCTTGGCCATGATTCCTTCCTTAGGACACCATGTTTACAAGTATAAGACATCAGGCAAACTAACCCAAAGAAGCACAACAAAAATGAGTAAGTAATCAGTTTTAGTGGAGTGCCAGGATGGGTTTCAGTCTCTTATTTTAGCCACAGCTTTAAGAGGATGCATGCTTGTTCTTTATTTACCAAACATCAATGTTGTCAACCTGTGAAGTTTTAATAGTGCTAAGGATCCTGTGATTTTGCGATCCATGAGTGGACTGTGCAGTAAGAATATAAATTAATGTATCTGGGCTCCATGGAGTTCATTAAGGTCCTTTAGAATGTCTGCATTTACATATTTAATAGCTTCCCATATCAGTCATTAAATATGAGGTTAGCGTGGGAACTAGATCAGTGCTTTGTCCTTGCCTGCAAGTGATGTGAAATGCAATTTCGTTATAAGAACACCCCCCCGCCCCCAATCAACTTTGTTAGGACATGGTCATGCCTTCATCCCCATGCACAAAAGCCTCGGTTTTCAATTCCTCTGGTCCACACTGAATTACCACTTCCCTCTTTTTGAAAAATCCCCCGAGAGGAGAAAGATCACATAAAACATCCGGCAGGAGCACAGCAGTGACCAGAAATCCAAACACTTGGAAACCAATTTAAAAATATTATCTTTTTTATTATTGTAAGGTCCGCTGGCTCATGAAAGAGTTAATATTTTTTGATTGTAGACACTAATAGCTTACACAAGGTGAAAATCTTACTATAAAAATGTTTTACGACAGACATTAGCTAAAGCTTTTTTTCTTTACTGGGAGTTATAGACAGAACTATTGGCCTTAAACCAAAAGGTATTTTCATTACAAACCGGCACGATTTGGATGACCGCAGTCGAAAGGTAACACTGCATGAAAAAATGCCATTAACTTAAGTTAAATTTTATGAGTCAGTTATATTTTAACCTAGACACGGGTTAGAGGCTGTTGCTGCAAATGGAGGGTATCCAGGGTATTAATCTGTTACCGATATATCATTATGCTTTTTTGAGTTTGATGTATATACCGTTATACTAGACCAAACCTGGGTTTCTGACAGATAAAGCCATTCCTTGCGAGTGCTAAAGGAGTCAAATTTACCCGATCCTGTCCAGCAGATATTTTACTCATTGTGCAAAGCCCTGCAATTTTGTTTTAAACATACCGACACACAATTCACCCAGGATAAATGAAGTCCCCAAGAGACCAGAGCAGTGTACCTGGTTGCTTAGCCACATCATAAAGCTGCCAGTCACATTGGCAGCTTGTATCTCAGACACTGAAGCACTGTAACAGAACCACCAATTTGAGATCGGCCAGAGAACACACAGTTCAGAAACTGGCTCCATCTATAAATTATGCACCTTGAAACTCAAGTTTATCAAAACAGTCTTGATTGCGTTGCCATCTACCATGTTCCCCACTGAATATCTTTTAGTTTTACCTGTAGGTCAACCCTGCTAAAGTACATGCATTAGTTAGGATATTTTACCATTTTCTTTCTTGCTTTTTTCCTTCAGTGGCTCGTTACCCACATACTCACCTATATTACCTTTGCCATTCAATCTTCCATATAACATCCTTACCACACACTTTCCCCACCAACACCAGTCCATCAGAAACCGATCACTTTAGAGCAGTTTTGACAGAAATAGTGGTAAGAAAACAAAAAGGACAGAGGCTTTCAATTCCCATGTGCTTAACATAATTCCCTAAATGGGAGCCTTCCAAAAACTAGGCTTTTAACTAGTTTCTGCACTCAGTGCCCTACAAACAGAACTGAGGATTCAGAGGTCAGCACAATACCCACCTAATTTCCCAATTTCAATGGGAAGAGCATCTTCCATGCGATGGAACTTAAAATGAAAGGTTTCAGCTTATGTTACCTTGTTCATGGAAGTAAACAGTACATTTCGAGTTTATCCAATTAGAACCACTGATGAAGGCAGTGGAGAAAAGACCTGCAGGTACAATTCATATTAACTTTAAGTTGTGCGTGTGTATATATATATAGACAGCAAAGGAACAAGTAATAGGTTTAACCCATGCTGAAAAAAAGAAAGAACAACGTTTCGGCCATGGAGCCTTCTTCAGGTGTGCATGAAGAAGGCTCCACGGCCGAAACATTGTGTTCTCTTTCTTCTTTTTTCCCCAGCATGGAATAAACCTATTACTTGTTCCTTTGCAGCCTACGCATGCCGATGCAGCTACCCACCTGAACTATATATAGACAGTATTACTGGGACTACAACCGGTAATTAGCACATCTTCAAAATCCTTAAAAGAAAGTACAGAACACTATGTATTGCTTTATTCATTTATTTTAAATTACTGGAATGATGGAAATGGAGACTGGACATTTACAGAACATTATTGCCTGGATGCTGGAAATGTTAAGAACGTTTTAAATTGTTGACAATGGGAAATATTGGTCCATATAAAGAAGCAGTTACATAATTAAGGTGCATTTCAGAACGTCCATAATGACTTAAAGCACGACTGAATGCAGCAAGACCAAGGCTTAATTACTCTTCCTAATACTCCTCTCCCTCTTCATCTTCCTCTCCCACGCTGTCAGTGCCCACCTCTTCATAATCCTTCTCCAGGGCCGCCATGTCCTCTCGTGCTTCAGAGAACTCTCCCTCCTCCATCCCCTCTCCCACATACCAGTGGACAAAGGCACGCTTGGCGTACATCAGGTCGAACTTGTGGTCCAGGCGAGCCCAGGCCTCAGCGATGGCGGTGGTGTTGCTCAGCATGCACACAGCTCTCTGCACCTTGGCCAGGTCTCCCCCAGGCACCACAGTTGGGGGCTGGTAGTTGATACCCACCTTGAAGCCAGTGGGACACCAGTCCACAAACTGGATGGTGCGCTTGGTCTTGATGGTGGCGATGGCAGAGTTGACGTCTTTGGGCACCACGTCTCCACGGTACAGCAGACAGCAGGCCATGTACTTGCCATGACGGGGGTCACATTTCACCATCTGGTTGGCTGGTTCAAAGCAGGCATTGGTGATGTCAGCCACCGACAGCTGCTCATGGTAGGCCTTCTCAGCAGAGATCACGGGGGCATAGGTGGCCAGAGGGAAGTGGATGCGAGGGTAGGGCACCAAGTTGGTCTGGAACTCAGTCAGGTCCACATTCAGGGCACCATCAAAGCGCAGGGAGGCAGTGATGGAGGAGACGATCTGGCCAATGAGCCTGTTGAGGTTGGTGTAGGTGGGGCGCTCAATGTCCAGGTTCCTGCGGCAGATGTCATAGATGGCCTCGTTGTCGACCATGAAGGCACAGTCAGAGTGCTCCAGGGTGGTGTGGGTGGTCAGGATGGAGTTGTAGGGCTCCACCACAGCTGTGGACACCTGGGGAGCTGGGTAGACAGCAAACTCCAGCTTGGACTTCTTGCCATAGTCGACAGAGAGGCGCTCCATCAGCAGGGAGGTGAAACCAGAGCCAGTACCACCGCCGAAGCTGTGGAAGATGAGGAAGCCCTGGAGCCCTGTGCACTGGTCTGCCTGCAAACATAAAACATGAACCAAGTCAAGAGACTTAAGTTAACAGGGGTGATTTTCTTTTAATAAAAGATTTTTGAAACATGCTGCCCTTCATTTAAGGCGAGTTTGTAAATTATAGAGTGCCCAATCTCCACAGAGGTTGGATGCAGTTCTATACATTAGTATAAGTCAGACAAAAAAAAGAGAAGGCTTCCATCTTCAGGTAGGTCTCTTCAGTATAAACAGCATGCAGTAGAAGCACAGACATTTCTACAGATATGGAGCTGAAGAAACAAAAGAAGCTAAAAGCTGAGAGTACCTTGACTGGGAGATCCATCATCATTGGTCTTACTACTAAGAATCTAACCAAACTCTGGGTGTACAGCACTCATTTGCTAAAGTTAAACAATTGTTTAAGTCCAGACAAGGACAGTGAAAGGGGTGTGGGCATTGAGGCCCAGTCTTAGTACATCTGTAGCAAAAGTTAATCAATTATGGGACCAATCATGGTGAAAAATGGACATGAGGAGGGGGAGTGGAAGAAGAATCTTACCAGCTTGCGTGTCCTGTCCAGCACCAGGTCGATGATCTCCTTGCCGATGGTGTAGTGCCCGCGGGCGTAGTTATTGGCAGCGTCTTCCTTGCCAGTGATGAGCTGCTCGGGGTGAAACAGCTGGCGGTAGGTACCTGTGCGCACCTCATCTAGGGAAAAAAAATTAATTATAAATATCAAGCAACAAAACTATTTCAAATTATACTATTCAATAGTGGAGGCCGTTACCCTGTGAAGCTTACAATTCTGTTGTTTGCGGGTTCTTTTAAACTTGTAAGCATTAGAAAAAGAGTCAGACAGGGAAATAAGAAACAGCCTCTTACCGATGACAGTGGGCTCCAGGTCCACAAACACAGCCCGGGGGACATGTTTGCCCGCCCCGGTCTCGCTGAAGAAGGTGTTGAAGGAGTCGTCTCCTCCTCCGATGGTCTTGTCACTGGGCATCTGGCCGTCAGGCTGGATCCCGTGCTCCAGGCAGTACAGCTCCCAGCAGGCATTGCCCATCTGGGCACCAGCTTGGCCAACATGGATGGAGATACACTCACGCTATGGAGTCAAAGAAACATACTTTAATAGTGAACCACTGGGCACAAACACTAAAAGAGATACGAACACCGCAATGTGCGACCTATACATAGTATAGGTTAGAGCTTATATTTCAGCTCATCAGAAGATACTGTTCACAATAAATGGAAAAAAAATTTAAAAAGTTCTTCTAATAGTCTAATAGCACAAGCTTCCCGAATATCTTGGCTCAGACTGCAGTCCCAATATAAGAAATAAGCTCTTAAAATTACTGTTCCGCTCTGTACCTTCCCAGTTTGCATACTGGAAGACAGAGGCTGAGCTCCCCCTCACACAGCAAAACGAATTACAGCACCGAGCCGTGTACTAAAAAGATTTTAAATGTAATATTAAATTATTTAAAAAGATATAAAGCAAGATCATTTTACAGATTCATTTAAATTTTGCTACAGTGCGGGTTTTTCCCCCCCTCTGAAGGAAAATCGAGCTGATCCTTCCTATGCAGTATCTGGTTGCAGTAAATGGAGCACATTTTGCAGGCCCCGTACGGCAGGGTGGGTTTTTTTTTTAGAAAAAGAATGACTTCCCCCCCAATGACTATCATAAAATGGCCGTTTCTGAAAGCACTGCCTTCACTACCAACAAAACCCATCTTTTAAAAAAAGGAAATATGCCTACGTACAAATTACGTCACACAAAAAACCCCCGTAAATTTTACATTTCACTGGTTTTCATCAGGATATATATATATAGAACATAAAGGCCGATAATCGGTTATACAGATTACCAATGCCGCAATAAATTTTACGTTGCGGAGTTGTATCCAATATTTTGTGCAACCCTAAATAAATAAAAAAACCTCTATAGGAAGTTACTTAAAACCGCACATACAGAGGCTGAAGATATTTTAAAAGGCTAATCTAAACCACTGAAATGTTCTAAATGAACACAACGTTACGTATACGCAGATTTTAAAAAAATGCTTTTCGCCCCCTACACTGGCTTCTCCCTAATTTTTTAAACTACCTAGATATGTTTTAATAACAGCAGATTATTTCGGGGGCGTTAGAAAAAAACAACTTTTCTTCAATCGGACAGATTTCAAATCTGCTCATAGGACTCGGGAAAAACCGCTGCGCAGGCCACATACGTAGGTGCTTTAATCACCATTATCCACATTCAGGAGGGAAAATGGCGATAATAAGGCAAATCGTACGTTTCATGAAAAAAAAAAATGGAGAAAGCATTTAAACTAAACTCGTCGAGCAAGACGAGCCCTTACCATTTTTTTTTTATGTGGTTTGCAAGGTTGCTCCCGCACGCCGAAGTCTATGAATCGGATGGAGAAGGCAGCAGTCTGCGGGGCTGGGGCTCCGGCCGCGGTTTTATAGCACGGGCGCACAAGGGGGAAGCAGGAAGTCGCCTTGGATGGCGGGAGCGGGGAGTCGCTGAGACTGCAGGAGGGGGGGGGGTTGGTTTGGGTGACGCGCACAGAAAAAAAAAGGGCGCCTACCTCACTTCCTGCCGTTTGGAATTCAAATTTTTAAAAAAAATCTCCTTCCTCCCCTGTCCCTCTTCAAGGCCCAAGCAAATCGAAGGAATTAAAGAATGGGCATTTCCTTTAAAAAAAAAAACAGAAATACTTTATTATTGTAACAACAGAAATACATTCAATATAGACAAGAGTACATATAACATTAAAAACATCGTCAGGGGGCACTCTGTTAAATTTGCACTTGACAAAAAATAAAGATTAAACAAGATAAATAGAATGGGCTTTGCCTCTAGGAGCTTTTTATACCCGGAAACAAAAGTTAAAGCTAGTTCTTTGTTTTTAAATCGCTTTTTACACCAGTAGTCCGGAGTGATTCCATATTCTCTTTCCTATGTCGCATATGTAAAATGTACTTTCAAAGACACGCTGTGGGCTTTTATTAAGTTAGTATCGGGTCATTGTGAACAAAGAATATGAAGTTTAAATATTGTAAATAGCATTAGCGTCACAAGGCTGTTTAAATGCAGTTTGTTTTCAATAGCATTTAAAATAAATTATTTTAAAAGCGTGGACTCACAGTTTTCATTTTAAGATAAACTTCACTTTAAATGAGAAGACTGGATTTTCGTTCATGCAAGGTTATCAAAAATATCAACAAACACTTTAAGCGTGGTGCACTGTTGCTCTGACAAATTTCTGCTGGAAACGTTCGCATTTGCTGGTTTCCTTTGTTCTTGCTAAGTGCTCCCGTTGTGGTTCTTGTTATTCAAACTTAATAACTTTAATAAAATTAATAAAGTCTGTTTGCTTCTGGTCAGACTTTGAGCATTTAATAGATGAATATGCTGTGCTAATGTTATCCATGAATAGAATGTGAAAGTGTTTCTACATTTCTACATTGGGATGGGCACATACTGCATGTGCTGTAAAGCCTCTCACATTTCAGAAACAGTTCTGTCAGAAATATCACCCTTATCCTAAAGGGAAAAAAAAAAACATTGACACATTGATGCGTTGCTGTAATCTGACTATTTGAAGCAATTGTGTCTTTTGCATTCCTTACAGATGTACAATACCCTGTCCTGCAGAATAAGGAACAGACAGGCATTTATTTCAAGCAACACAGTTGCAAACATTTAAAGTGAAATGTATAATAGTGGGCTTTGGGCATTTTTAACTGTCGGGACAGTGGCCACACCTTAAAAATGAAACCGGTAGAGAAGGTATTGTTGTACTGCTAAGAACTGTCGAGCTCTCAGAGGGATAAAAGGTACAGATGGAAACTCAAGCCTGCAATGAATAAGCTCAGCCCCCTTGTGCTTATAATACACAAACAGCAAAAACAGGCACTTTTCATGCCTGCAACTGCTGGACTTCACCAAAGTAAGGCTCAGCATTTCTTAGGGAAAACACTCAAGAATGAAAGATTTCTACCTTGTTGAGCATTTTCTGGATTAAATGGATCTCCTTTATTACAATGAAAGAGCCCTGGGTGAAACAATGAGGAACAGGAAAATAATGTTCTGTGAAAAAGAGGTTATAACGTAGTGAAAATATATAATTAGGTGTTTTAGTGCTCGTATGCTGAATTATCAAGTGTTTAAAATTAAGGGTCTTCAATTTTGACAAATAAAACCATCAATCAAAATCAGCATTTTACAAAATACAATCTTCAGACACATCTAGCATTTACGTGCAGTGGAAGTTGACCCTCAGTGGTTTGTTGAAGTATGAAAACCATCCTTTTATTTTCTAATCACTTCATCCAATTCAGGCTCACGGAGAACCTGGAGCCTATCCCAGCAAACAACAGGCAGAAGGCAGGACGCAACCTGGACTGGGAACCACTCCATAGAGGGCACGCACACACACACCAGGGGCCACTTTTCCCAGAAGCCAATTCACCTTCGAGCCTGTCTTTGGACTCTGGGAAGAAACCCTGAGCGCCCAAGGAAACCCATGTGAACACAGGGAGAACATGCAAACTCCACACAGACATCAGCCCAGCTCCAGAATTGAACCCAGGACCCCAGCGAGTGTGGGGGAAGCAATGATAACCCTTGAATGAATTGATTCAGTAACTGACTAAGGCAAATAACCATGTGCTTAGAGGACATTTTAGCTTGCCAGCAGCCCTACACTTCCCAGAAGCATTTCATTTACTGGTGTTAATGTAGGGTTGTCTGAAGAAAAGCACAGCTCGCAAGAATTTATTGCCGCTTTGATTCTGCTTAAACCTGCTTCATTTTGTTCAGGCTTGTCTTGCACCTTGATGTCAATTTTTTAGATTTATATGACATGTCATTTTGCCTTCGAAGTTCTTTAAAGAGCTGCTCTTATATGTAATATTTGACATTGACTCTTCTTACAAGAGTATGGAATCGATCTGAAAATATTGGTTAGATGATGCTATGTTCAAAACTGGAAAAGAAGCAAACTACGGTGTTCCCATGGCCACACTCCATCAATACGATTTTCCAGTAGTTATTTCCATATATCTTCATCTTCACCTGTTTATCACTTTACCCTTCGTTTGACAAAATATTTAGCTTAGATGATCAAGTCTAATTGGTACATGAACAGTATCCTTTCACAAACGTTTATCTCTTTACAGACCTAAAGACCATCATAATGGAAATTCAATACATTACATTGTACATTAAAGAAACAGACTTCAAAAATATTTTTTCAAGTTTTTTATTACAAAATATTGATCCAGCTACACTGCATTTTTGACATCGTTTTAATGTTTATCAGTGGTACTTTATGAAAAGAAAATGGCACTAAAATACTATGAAAATGATTTTCATAAAATATTAGTCCATTTATTTTTACATAGAGTCCAAGACATTTCTAGTTGTGTTGGTACTGGAATACAGCAAAATCAAGACAGGATCACTTTTTGCTTTCTAATACTCCTCTCCCTCCTCATCTTCCTCTCCCACGCTGTCAGTGCCCACCTCTTCATAATCCTTCTCCAGGGCCGCCATGTCCTCTCGTGCTTCAGAGAACTCTCCCTCCTCCATCCCCTCTCCCACATACCAGTGGACAAAGGCACGCTTGGCGTACATCAGGTCGAACTTGTGGTCCAGGCGAGCCCAGGCCTCAGCGATGGCGGTGGTGTTGCTCAGCATGCACACAGCTCTCTGCACCTTGGCCAGGTCTCCCCCAGGCACCACAGTTGGGGGCTGGTAGTTGATACCCACCTTGAAGCCAGTGGGACACCAGTCCACAAACTGGATGGTGCGCTTGGTCTTGATGGTGGCGATGGCAGAGTTGACGTCTTTGGGCACCACATCTCCACGGTACAGCAGACAGCAGGCCATATACTTGCCATGACGGGGGTCACATTTCACCATCTGGTTGGCTGGTTCAAAGCAGGCATTGGTGATGTCAGCCACCGACAGCTGCTCATGGTAGGCCTTCTCAGCAGAGATCACAGGGGCATAGGTGGCCAGAGGGAAGTGGATGCGAGGGTAGGGCACCAAGTTGGTCTGGAACTCAGTCAGGTCCACATTCAGGGCACCATCAAAGCGCAGGGAGGCAGTGATGGAGGAGACGATCTGGCCAATGAGCCTGTTGAGGTTGGTGTAGGTGGGGCGCTCAATGTCCAGGTTCCTGCGGCAGATGTCATAGATGGCCTCGTTGTCGACCATGAAGGCACAGTCAGAGTGCTCCAGGGTGGTGTGGGTGGTCAGGATGGAGTTGTAGGGCTCCACCACAGCTGTGGACACCTGGGGAGCTGGGTAGACAGCAAACTCCAGCTTGGACTTCTTGCCATAGTCGACAGAGAGGCGCTCCATCAGCAGGGAGGTGAAACCAGAGCCAGTACCACCGCCGAAGCTGTGGAAGATGAGGAAGCCCTGGAGCCCTGTGCACTGGTCTGCCTGGAGACATAATATGAGCATAGTTAGTTAGTGTATAGTAGTAAATAAGCTGCTTTAATGTAAACAGAAAGATTTTCTTCTACATAAAAGCTAAGTGAAACCAATAATCAATCCTTATCACGTTGCTTTTCGCTTAAAAATGAAAAGTGTCAAGAAAAATAATAACAGTATCATATTTGAGGTTTAATGTGTGTGTAACATTTTGACAATGACATGCTTTTCATCGTTACCACAATTGAAGTTTTATCAAAGAAATTAGTTGCAATATTTTTTTATCCTCAAATATCCAAAGATAATTCCAACACTAATTTATGTATAACCAATAAACAATAAGAAAATAAAACAATATATACTGTGGAAAAGGCCTGAAATAGCACGAAAGTAATGAAACCCGTTAGCTTGCATGTCCTGTCCAGCACAATGGCTGGATATAGCTGGCTTAAACAAAGATAGTGAATCGTGTCCTAGCGTCACTTTATCTGCAATGCATAATAGCCAATTCATGGTGGAAAATGGACATGAGGAGGAGGAGGATAAGATAAGAATCTTACCAGCTTGCGTGTCCTGTCCAGCACCAGGTCGATGATCTCCTTGCCGATGGTGTAGTGCCCGCGGGCGTAGTTATTGGCAGCGTCTTCCTTGCCAGTGATGAGCTGCTCGGGGTGGAACAGCTGGCGGTAGGTACCTGTGCGCACCTCGTCTGGGAATTAAAAGGAGAAAAAAAGAGAAAGGAATCAGTTTACCTGCACTGTTCCAAGTGATGTAATAGTGGAGGCTGCCACACTGTGAAAGTCATGATCCAAACAGTTATTTGTAGGTATTATGAAATGAGCACTTTCAAGTCAGACAGGGAAATAATATCATGCAGCCTCTTCTTACCGATGACAGTGGGCTCCAGGTCCACGAACACAGCCCGGGGGACATGTTTGCCCGCCCCGGTCTCGCTGAAGAAGGTGTTGAAGGAGTCGTCTCCTCCTCCGATGGTCTTGTCACTGGGCATCTGGCCGTCAGGCTGGATCCCGTGCTCCAGGCAGTACAGCTCCCAGCAGGCATTGCCCATCTGGGCACCGGCTTGGCCAACATGCATAGAGATACACTCACGCTAAAGAAATAAAGGAAATTATGAGTTGTACTTTGGGGATACACCAATGTTACACATAGCCTGTGCATTTAGAAAGTTATTACATTTCGATCATATGAAATTGCCAGTCCTAAAATAACACTCACTATTTTTTGTGAACTTTTCTGTGATGTGGCGCAATGATTGATGTTCTGAACTTGTAACTGGAAATTTGTGGGCTCAGATTCCATGTGAGGCTCTACTATTCTAAAAAACTTGACCAGCTTGCTCGAGCGGAACACTCAGCTGTATAAATAGGTGTGAATGCCATTAGCTTTGGATGAAAGTGCCAGCTGAATAAAAAGAGCAATTAGTCTGATGATGTTTCTGATCTTGGCAAGCGGCAAGCTCACTATTAGTACTGCAGTTCCTGCAGAATCAGCCGATGACAGGAATAAACATTGAATCAATGAATTCCTCCCAGGAGGAGTTCCAGTAATCTTTTCCACAAAAAGCCTCCACCCAGTAGCAAAGAGGCTACAAACTGCAGGTTTAGATGAATGGAGATCCTGGTGTGGGCAGCACAAAGCTGTCTGAGCTCTCTTTGGTTAGGGTGGAGTACTCCTGGTTTGGCTCATAACAGTGGCTTCAGTTGTTGTCTGCAGTGCTGGGGTAGCTTTTAAACGACATCTGCTGTTTCCAATACAGAATGGCAGGACAAGAGTCTGCTTGTATGGTGGATGAGAATGTTACAAATGACAGAGGCAGTAGTCATTATCAATCCCTTACTACCCTAAAGAAAAGTTTTCATTTCTGTTAGAAAAACAGCATTTCTAGAAACGTTATATTGCAGACCCTATCATTACTTAGCAGAAACTACAAAATAACCCATACATCAAACTACAATAAAAAAAATAAAGGGTAAATATATGAACAACGGGGGCGGGAGCCTTGTTACTAATTATCATCCTGTCTTGTATCCGTCAAATAAAATTATTTAACAAAGAGAAGTTCCCTAAAGAGCCTTCCAGCCATCACTTGTTTTATTGGCTTCAACGTCTGGTTGCTTTCTGTTGTGCCAGGAGTGATTGAGACACGTATCTGAAAATTGTGCTGAGTCACAATGCCGCACATAATGGCCTCTCCAGGGATAAGATGCTGCAAAAACAGTACTGCATTTCCCTTAGGCTGCGATATGGAGCTTATCCGTGTTGCCTCTGTAAACCGCAGAGCTGGAGGTCAGAAGGTTTTACCCCACCCCCACTGTTCCACTGATATAACCTCCTTTGTTTGAAACAAGAGACACACGGCAGGGAAAAAAAAAAAGAATCTGATGCAACTGGTTGAACACAGTGGCTGCAAAAAGCCTCACTAACGCAAGATGCAATCTAATCTATTGAGAGGTCTGAAGTAAACATTATGGAGCATTGTAAATGTCGGTTTGAAGGAAAACTCTCTTTACATGTCGGTTTGAAGGAAAACTGTCTTCAACATCGCAGGGTAACCTAATCACAAACGAAATTATAGGACCCCAATAATCTGAATTTCTGGAGAAAAGACGGCGGTGGGAAGGAACGTTCCCTTCAGTTTTCACATCTTCATAAAATAATGGAAAGGAAGGGAAAGTGAAATAAAAAAACAGGACCGCACACAGGTTGCCAAGTCATTCAAATCAAATATAAAAATAAGGACATTACTTTTAAGATAGGGACCATTTTTGTAAAAGTATTTGAACTCATTTGAGGCTTTCCTAGTTCGATTAATTACCATCCTGTTTGTGAAAATAAATTGAATAAGCATGTGCCGTTACATTTGGAATGGTATGTTAATACTTTACAAATAGTGCGAAATAAACTAGATCAGACCCAAGAGGATTAGCACATTGGTCAGGGCTGGGTGCGACACCGTTATTTACAAAGACGTGCTGGGTTGAGGTGGTGGAGCTGGGGCTGTGGCCCGAATCCTAATCCCCGACTGCAGTCACAGCAACAGGCTCTTGGCGCCCAGCCCACAGTCTCCAGAGGAGGACGAGCTCACGCTACAGTCTCCCTGCCCCCACTGGAACCTCCCTGCCACAGCGACACTGCATCCCTGCTGTGCGCTCTGCATTTCAGCAAGGGAATCAAGTCTTTGGCAAACATGTGGCCTCCTCAGAGCCCTTCGCCTTGAGCCTTAAACTCAATTCATGGGCTGCTTGCTGGCTCTTTTGTGAATAGATTAGGCCCACTCGCTCAAGCAGAAGGTTTGCACATATGATGCTTTGTTCAGAGACGTGAAAGCCCCGCACCGTGAAACATATGTTAACTGGTCGCCTAGCAGAAGAAAAGGAGGCTGCCGACTCAGTACTCACCATTTTGTATGATTTCCTTCGGCCCGACGTCTAGGATTCGGAATGAGAAGGCTGTGATGCCGGGTCGGGGCTGAGGCTGCTGTTTTATAGTGTGGGCAAGAGGAGGGGGGGGACAGGAAGCTGGTTTGTCTGTTGGCGGGACTGACAGTTAGAAAAGAAAGGGGCTGGCCCTGCTGGACAAACACACTCCTCCACAGAGAGACGGAGCTGCAGGGAAAACAGGTTACCTCCCAGACCGCACACACACACACAGACACACTCCCTCATACACTGACACACTCCCTCACACACACAGAGACATACTCCCTCACACAGAGACACACTCCCTCACACACACACAC